CAGACAGGAGCAGGGTGTGTGAGAGTTGAGGTCCAGGAAGTGCTGAGAGTTGGCTGCCCTTAGCCCCGCTTCTTCCACCAGAGGCATCGCTGTTAAATACTGTCTTAATTTTTGGAAAAAAAAAAAAACCCAAACCCTCTCAGGGGGCTGGTGGGATACCAAGGCACTCTGCTGGAAATGTTAGAACCTGAATGCCTAAAGTTACAGGAGCAGGGTGTGTGAGAGTTGAGGTCCAGGAAGTGCTGAGAGTTGGCTGCCCTTAGCCCCGCTTCTTCCACCAGAGGCATCGCTGTTAAATACTGTCTTAATTTTTGGAAAAAAAAAAAAACCCAAACCCTCTCAGGGGGCTGGTGGGATACCAAGGCACTCTGCTGGAAATGTTAGAACCTGAATGCCTAAAGTTAGGTTTTATGTGTCTATATTTAGGCATCCACATTTTGTCTCATTTTCAGAGATGGTGAGTGCCTGCAGCTCCCAGGGATTGCACAGTGCTCAGCGCCTCTTAAATCAGGCCACTTATTAGGTGCAGAAATGTGGATAAAGCAACCTAAATTCAGGCACTCGAGTTTGAAAATTTTGTTCATTATCAGTTGATATCATTTAGCTACATAATTTTAATAGGTAATTTTGCTTCCAATTACAGAATGTTTTTAGTGATAGACAAGTAGCCGTGTTAGTCTGGTGTAGCTGAAACAAAAGACAGGACTATGTAGCACTTTAAAGACTAACAAGATGGTTTATTAGGCGATGAGCTTTCGTGGGCCAGACCCACTTCCTCAGATCAAATAGTGGAAGAAAACTGGCACAACCATATATACCAAAGGATACAATCAAAAAAAATGAACACATATGAAAAGGACAAATCAAATTTCAGAACAGAAGGGGGATGAGGAGGAGAGGTAAATGTCTGTGAGCTAATGATATTAGAGGTGATAATTGGTCAAAATGGATCCCCATCTGGAAGAGGTTGGGAACCGCTGGTCTACAAGGTTGCGTCAATGATCTGTGGCATCTTTATACAAGGAGTGGTGACATTTTTAGGGCTTGGGATTTTTCATGTACAAATACTTGACCAAAGTTATTAATCTGAAAGGGACAGAACCTCAGCTTTATCAGAGATCTGCCTCGCACAGCTGAGGTGGCAAAGTTTACTTATTCTACCCCACTCCAATTCACCCCCAGGGCAGCATCAGTGCTGGTCTGAGTCTCATTGGTTTGTAGCAGCCTTATGGGAGACACTATGCTGACTAGGGATTACCAAATACTGTTTCACTGGCCACATCCCCTCTTGACAGATGTATCCAAGGGTGGCCTGTGGCTATAGAGGCCGACACGGCCGTCACCTAGAGCGCCGCCTTCAACAGCGCCCGATGATGACGTCATGGGGCATCCGGGGTGCCCGATGATTACGTCCCCCCACTGATGGCCCATTGACGGCTGTGCAGGCAGGGGTGCTGATTGCACGTTCTGCCTGGGGCACCAGCTGCCACAGCCCGCCTCAGGCCGCTGCTGGATGTATCCTTACACCAGAGGGATTCCCCCATGCCAGAGGAAGTAATTATGGATCATTCAGTACTCTTGGCTTAGTTTTATGATTTCATAAGGGAATTAGTAAAAAGGCACTGAACCAAGCAAGAAGGGATTAGTGGGGCTTCAGGATTCTGAGGATCTGGGAAAATGCCAGAATTACTGTCCTAGAGTTCAACCGTCTGTATAATTGTAATGGCCTTGTAATATTGTTACTTCTGCCAATGTAGAGCCCCAAGTTCTAGCATGATACACTGGAGCTTATAGTTTCAGCTCAATGGCACGTGTTAATAGACCCCAATTGATAACATGATATAAAGAACCTGTGAGCTACACTGACTGGCATTTACATCTATTACAAAAATCTGGAACATGTGAAAATAAACATGTGCCACTGCATCTGTATGTAGAATACAAGTAAGATTGGCTTATGCTGAATTATAAAAAGCTGGGCTAAGGAAATATATTTTTTAATTAAAGGAAACTACTCTGAAGCATGGAAAAGGTATTAAAAAATTAAAATATTAACTCTACACAATACTTGCATATCTAAGAAAGTATGTCATTTTTTGTATGTGAGATTGTCTTAGTGGTTGTACCATTGTTTTTAATGCTCCATCACCCCATACTACAAATTCCTGATAGATAAAAATAGATAACGCTGAAGTGATAAGCATCAATAATAGCAGAAATTTAGAGCCAAATATAAAATCAGTTCATCTGTTTTAAAAGTTAAAAAATATTAAACCAGCTTTGTAGTAAGAAAACAACTAAGCTTTCATTTTATTCAAAAGGATTGTCAGCACAGTATTTTATGCAATATTTCAGTGCATCAAGTTCACTTATTTCTAAATCCTAAATGAAAACTCAAATATTGATAATAAAATCACAGAAGCAGATGTATAATCTGCAGCAATTTAAACTACTCTATTAATCCCCCAATAACATCTGAGCAGCTGCAGTACAGGAAGAAGGGTAACACCAAAAATAATAATTAAGCCAAATGGAGCAGCTTGTATGAAATTTAATTTTCAGAAAGACAAAAATGTCTTTGGGAAGCAGCTGTTAACAGTGAATGACCATATATGGAGATATGTAAAATACGTAAAATCACTCAGCTGTTACAGTGATGGGAGTTGTACAACAACCTATATAGACCAGAATTCAAAACAGTATGTGCTGATCCCTGATCTTTACTCACTTAAGATAAATGTCTTTCTAGGTAGGTTTTTATTCTGAACACATCTTGAATGGGTTTACTAGAACAGCTATATTAGTATAGATACACCAGTAAATCCTAGCATAGAAACCACGTATTGTGGTGATAGAATGTTTTCCCCAGTAAAATTTT